TTGGAACTGGCACTTTTGGTGAAATGAACTGAACTCTTTGTTCATTTTCGCACAACTGTTAGTTATGATTGACCTTTTGGCGCTAACCACGGCATTTGGATCCACACCGCACTTCGTCGTCTCGCTCATTCCTGTTCGGTCAAATTGATGCAGCTGTGCAACTGCGATGCGCAGCTCTCATCATCACACTGCTGCTGGTCTGCTGCCCCCATGCTCTTAAGCAGTTGACGTCTGCAACCGGTTTCTGTGTTTGTTTTCACGTAACATCAGTCATCGATGAATTGACCGTGGCCTTTACTTCAGATTCCACCGATTGCATATGTTTGTCACGCTGAAGTCTCAGTTCTCTGACTAGGTCATGTGTTATGAGACCGTAAAAACAATGCACACGCTCGCTGAAACCGAGCGTGGGTCTCGGTGTGGCCGCAGTTTCATATCGACATTGTGCCTGCTCACCGACTATCGATCACTTATCTCTGGTTTTGTGGTTGTGTTGCTGCTTGTTTTCTTGACCGACGTTTATCATCTGTTTAGACTGGTTCGTCATCATGGCCCACAGTCTCCGTTCATGTTACACCAGTAGCTGAACCCTGGTCACAGTTGGCTTTATTCTGCTTGTTATTGGAACTAGAAAACTGTGTATTCAGTTTTTTGTTGGTCCGCGCTTAATGACTGTTTGTGTTTGACGTTGTGGTTATTACCAAACGAATGATTTTCAGCCCATTGAGTGCCCCTATTCGCTCACTTCATTGGCCTAAACCGTCAGATCGAGTTTACTTTAGCAAATATAAGTTCAGTGGTTTTTTGCAATACAACAACCGTGGAATGACCGTCCGGCGTAGTTCTTGTAGGTTACTCTTTGTCTCAAACAAGGTCTAACTATCCACCTGGCACCCATAATGCCATACCTAAACCATCCAATTGACGATGGATAACGTTAGCTCTGTCTATTTGACATAAGTACACTGATTTTTACACATGTACTTTGAGCGATATGGCGGTTTGCCACTCGACCTACTACTACGACAACAGAGAATCTGACGCCAACTGGCTGAGATCACCGTTGCTCGCTGAGCGAATCCGATGAATTCGCGCAACACTTCGTGGGCACCGCTGGTTGAAGACAACCATTCCTTTAACTTTCACAAAACCCTCAACCCCATATCCGTTATTTGAACAGTAGCAGTAGCTGTGCTGTGGTATTTTGCACCATGGTCTTGACAACCGAACTGCTAACTTGTCGTCCCCATGAATGAAGTTGCTCCCTTGTGTCTCACGATCTGCGCAGTAGTTTCTCAATTCACTTGATCACTGGAAAGGATCCATTTTCGTAGTGAGTGAATCGATCGATGGCTTCCACATGTTGTGCTCGTAAGCAGCGATCGTGTACCACCTCAACCCCGCATCATGCACCGTTCGGGTTGTCTACACCGCAACAATTGCACTAGGCTGGATCTGACTCCACTTGGTTGTTATCCGAGCATTTTCTATCACAGTGTCGTTTGACCGAATTTTCGCTCTTGAACAGCTTTTTGTCTTTCGCGTTGATTTTAACTACACACCTTAATTAACGGGACAATTCTACAACACGACGCCTCCTACTTTTAGTGGCGTATTCAAGGGGAAATCTCTCTTCGAGTCTCTCATCACAAGAGTCGCCGTAAAAGTAGCTGTACGTTTCTCCGCTTCAGCTCCGGTCTTAGTGACTGGATTGACTGGAATCCACGTCAACGTGCATCGTGGTCAAGTTTGTATATCGAAGTGCGTACACAAAACAAGCACTCCGCGACTCGGTGGCCGAAAGGACAATGCAATCCGGAGGTAACCGGTTCGAGCCTCTCGTAGGGGACCGGGCAGTATCCTTAGCCCACACATAATTCGTGGTGGTTGCATGGCAGCGAAGCGTCGGTGCGGCTTACCGGCGTACTACTGATATATTTTTTGATTAACTTAGGGATAGTGGCTTCAGTAGACACCCCCAACTGTCTCGGCTTCTAACTACAAACCTGTTATCTACTACGAAGACAATCAGGGAGCGCGGTGCTGTGGGCAGTTAGCACCTAGCATTCATCTTTCAAGTCTATATCACAAATTCATAGTTTGATTGTACTCCAGCGCAGAACGAGTTTTGTGGGTTTCAACAGTCCCAGTCGGTGCCCTCCCACCGTCAGGGACGATATGCCGCGCTCGTGATTTTCGCCAATTAGGTTGTGACCTTATAACCCATAAATCTGTTGTCTCTTGTGGCTTGGTTCAAGGTAAGAGGTTCCTTGACCTCTTCGCAACCTCCCAGAGAATTGTAAAATTGAGTCAGCCTAACTCCTAACCATTGACTTGTCATGTTTGAGTGGCTCTGAAGGCACTTGAAAAGTGCCACCTGAAGTAGCTTAATGGTTCACGTAGATACGCAAACCATCGCACTAAATTGAGGTCCAATCTCATCACGATGGACAGTTTCGCGCATCAGGGCATGAAATCAGAAGACTAGTGTAAACACTGGTCCAGCAGTTTTTGAACACGGTCTCTGATTCTGCCTATGTAATCGTCGGTAATTTATCGATCAAGTGAACGTCGAATACCCACAAAGTTAGATTGTTGTGTCCAATTCAAATGATAGTTCATTTGTATTCCAATAGAGAGAGAGGCTTCTATGGTATGCTTCCGAATATCCAATCTACTTAGTCCTAGTTACATGCGTGATTGACCAGAAATCCTTTGACTACGTCTCCTCACCCCCATCAAGTCTATGCATACCATTTATGCCACTTGTGGTCATTTCAACTCTGCTGTGCGCGTAGACTAACTATGCACATTGTTCCACCAAACTAGACAACTGATAGTATATCCTATCGGCAGCATGATCATCTAGTTGAGAATGCAACGCAGTGCAGACGAGTGGCATACTAGAGATCGCAAGTCCAGATGACATGTTAACTCAAACCTAGAACAGTGAAGCCCATTTGGATATTTCATTCGTCGTGGTGCAGCTTTAACGGTCCGTTCCGCTGCGCGCTTTCATCCACAACGTACCGCGGGTCGTTGCTTCGTGCACTGCGTGCCCTTCATCCCTTAGAGATCCATGACTCCTCCGATCTCTCCACGAGTGCCCGTTTTTATTCATTAGTAGTGGAACACCATCTACCAAACTAGCGACACATTTATCCAAATGATGACAACATCGGGAGGTATAGCAAGCGAGAACTATTCAGGATGTGCTTGTATTGGGTGATATATCTTTATCATGCTAACTTTCATTACACAACAAAATCCATCAACCTAACGATGAAAGTGTAGCCGCACACGGCGCTGTTAGCTTGTAAGTCACGCTGATCCGTCACTATCCTTAGTGGTATAATGTGCTGTCTATTGGCGCAAGCCTATAGTGGTGGCTGGGTTCCTTGTCGAACTGTGGATGGTGAACTATCGATGAGTCTCAGTAGGACTAATGTTGTGTCGCATGCGTGGGAATTTGTCTGATTGGTCTGTAGAATACTGCGAAGAATCTTCCGTAAACAGATAGAAATGGTTGACTCGTGAGCAGGTACACGGGGATTCGGGGATGGTTATCTGTTACTCCATAGTGGTACCCCTTCGAATCGATAAAATTCCATTCTCGCGCTTGCTGCGCTTTCAGTTTATCTACACTATCGCACGTACGTCGGCAGCGATAGAATCTATCCAGTCGAAAGAATACTTACATCTGCACTCAACTGTTACGGGTCAGAGATTTTTAATTGCTGTTACTACACTCATGATGTGACCTGCGTTTTTATTAATGTAACATTCACACTGTCGATGTACATTTAACACGTTCGTAGTGTCACTTTGAAAGCTGATCAGAGTCAACTCATCAGGTACAGCTTTATGTTCATCTTGCCTTGGTGTTTCAAATAGTACCTCTAAAACACGGTGTGCCTAAGTCCATGTCAGCACACATAACACCAAAGTCTGCGCGATATGTTCAAAACGCGTGCTATCCTGTTACTCATAATGGTGAACCCACTATATACTTTTAACTGTTTCACAGTCAGAATATGCAAGCGTTAGGCGATTTAACATCCCCGGTTCTCATTTTGGGATGGCTTTCTGCGATCAGTGTGTGTCCACTCTGTCACATTTCAGGTGAGCCGTTGCTGTTTCGCTTTGAGTGCCTTGCGAGAACCTAATTTTCCTTTACGAGTACATGCGAAGAGTCGCTCATATCCGATAGGTTCACCGAACGAACACTGATGAAGATGACCGGTTAGTGTTCGACAGCGTATCTCCTGTCCAAATAGTGAATCGGGTGTTGTACGGCTATTGCTTATTTGGGCACCTCCATGTGCCCGGCAACTGTACTCCTTCGTGAAGTCTCTCGGTGGCCATGTGACCACATGACTAAGGCGGATGAAATATACCTCTATGGTTGCGGGTCTCGGTATTCGCTACAACGGTTCCTAGGGTCTAATTTTATCTTGCAAACTGTAAAACTCATTGGCGCTTGTGCATCAAGGTCCCTAACCTACAAGCTTATCCGCTCCACTGGGAACATATAGCACCTTTCCAACTGTGTTCTCATTTCTTTTCCTTTGCTCTTTCTATTTAAGTATTTTCTCACACCCGTTGTTCTCATCGCCTCTCCTCAACTCAAGGCATAGTCCTCAGCAATTCGCTGCACTGGTCCAGGTCGATCTGTTCGTTCATCACCGTAATAACATGCAATTGCTTCTTACCCCATTACTTCCCTGAACGGCTCTGGTTCTGCGTTTCCTTGCCATTTGCTCTGCGTATTCCGAGTGCTCTGTATACTGCTTTTTTTTGCTTTCCTCTCATCGAACGAATCACTCGCTACTTTCTCGACGAAAATTTCCGACGGATTATGGATGCTATTTGCATTCGCTGTTCCGAGTCATCCGTCATTTTCCACCACTTAGCGTCACTTTGTTCTCATCCGCTGTCGCTACTATTGTTTACTCAATTTACTTACTTACTATTCTACATTATTCTGATACATTTCCAAGGCGGGACTACTCTGGCAGACAGTCGAACTTTGCAGGAGCTCTGCTCTGCTGATGGATCTCAGAAGCTCATTCTATACCTCCGTGACCTGGGGCCACAAGTCGGATGGCGTACAGTTTTCGTCACTGAATACACCGGACCTTTTGTGATTTATCTCACTATGTGGTTGCTGAGACAGCCATATCTGAAAATGTCTTTTGTAACGCCCTCGACAAGTTACGAACATCTTCGATTATTGGCTGTTTGTTGTTGGTGTGGACATTACGCCAAGCGTATTCTAGAAACCCTCCTCGTCCATCGTTTTTCTCACGCGACAATGCCTTTGAAAAACCTCTACAGGAATAGTGCGTACTACTATTTATTCGCGCTGTTTGTGAGCTACTTTGTCAATCATCCACTGTATACCTTCCCTGGTAAGTTGAATTGTTTTTCCCATCTCCTTTGAATAATTCTCATCCATCGTTTCCCGTTTATCTGGTATGACCATCTCATCGGGCTTGGTAGGACACAATTTGAATATTTGGACCGACGCAAACGCCACTACTGCTAACTATGCAGTAGCATAACTATGAGTTTCTGGACGTTGAGACGACTGTTACCCGCTGGGATCTGTAGTGTTTACTGGGGAGCTGAATATAGCCTCGATCACACTCCGTGTCCCGGAGCATGGTCACAGTTCAGTTATCTCCGCCTAAAGTACATGAATAATCTAAACCAGTCTTAGAATTCGATCTTTTTGGCGTGTGTTACCTAGCATTTATCTGGTCCTGGTATGATCCGAATGACATACTTGATGGAGGTTCACTTCAAAGCAAGACTTGCTCCTCATCAAGATTACGTGACGAAATCCATACCCCCAGCAGATACTCAGGAAGCCAGATCTGAGCTTTCATTGTCTGCTCTTTCATCATGAAGTCATTCGCGACCAGCTGCTGCTACTACGAAATCAGAGTACTCTGGGTACCGGCCCGTAGCGTTAAGAATCAGAAGCTTGCCTTGTAATCCATGGGCACATGTTCGAGCCTGCGTAGGGACCGAGCGACCCTTGCAGTATCCTTAGCCCACGTGCGAATGGTGGTGGTTGCGCGGCAACGAAGCGTCGATACTGCATACCGGCGTACGGCTGATGTACTCTGAATGCGTGTGCTCCGTAGTCCTGCCTTACGCAGGCCTACATGTCTCAGAATCAAACTTGCATATGGCACGTATCATCGCCCCGTTTTCCCGGTTGTTTGATGTAATCGAATGCCTTTTCAGCGCCATAAGTGGCTCAAATCTGTAGGCTCAGATCTATTCCCCCATGATGCTGCTCCGTTGTACCATCCCTTATTCCCAGTGATCTTTGGAAGCGCTCTCATCAATGATGAACTTCCCAGCCGATGGAGCCAAACGGATATTAGTTTCCACCGGCGTCTTTGATTACTCTGAACATACGTAATCACTTCGAACTTTGCAAATCTATGGTTTCGCAAGACATTTGGAGTAGCCACTTTTTAACTCAACCTCACGATCACCGTCTTACTCCATTCAGGCTCTTTCCTTCCACTTCCTACATTTTAGGCAATAGATGAACCATAAAACCATCTACTTTAATTCTATGTTGTATAAGACTCGATCCTGTCCGCTGCGCGTCACCTGTCGTTGTGATTTCAGTGAATTTTCCCTCAATTAATCTCGTTGGACGGTGTTAAAAACTCACCTGATGAACATGCTTCGTCCCAGTTCCCTTGCCATCGCTGTATCAGCGTCTGCATGCGTGGATTGCACGAGTGATGTCGCGTTTTACCACAGTACAATGTTTGTTTCTGGGTATTCCCACCTATTTTCCTGAACGCAGGGAAGCCTTTGTTCATGCGCGTGATAGTAGTCAAGGTCTAGCCGCTCAAGCGTGGGCTGCTGATCCTTCGCGGATCACCATGGTTGCAACCTCGGGTTGTGCAAAGTGGACGTCTGCATTCTGGCGAGTGCCGTCCAATCCTGAACTTTGATGACAACTTTGGTACAGGTATAAGGCGGCGACTTCTGGCGAGCTTCAATGGTGTTCAGTCGGAGCGCTCACTATATATATATATATTGTTTATTTTGCAACAGCCTATAAATAGACATAGAGTCATCAGAAACCACGGAACACAAAAGAAGGTACAAAATTGTAAAGAAAACACAACACATTAAAGTCCATGATTTCGTCAGAGGGCGAGATACTACCCGGTTGCCCAAGCCTAAGTAGGGTGTTGGCTTAGGGACACCACCCTGAGCCTTTGACTGAATAGCCTGCCCGCAAGGCAGCGGAGCGAATTCAGGGGATCGCGCCCATTTGGAGCCGGTGACTGATTGCTCAGTTCATACGCCTTTCGTTTGTTCCTTTGTCAAACAGGGGCACAACACTCCCCAGAATTACAGCACAAACTTGCTGGAATACAATGTTTCGCCAGGATGAAGCAAGGGGCAGTGACTTTATCTAATAGCGAGTCACGTCCGCCACGTCACAGTGTTGTTAAACGGACATATGTGGCTTTTTATAGGGAGAACGCTTGCGAGGCGGAAACCCACCACGTCCTGGAACACTGCCGCCGAACCATTTGCTGAAACGAGAAAATCCCAAACCACGCAGCTGGCACCACGAGGAGGTTGTTCGGCAAGCCAGCGCTCACTTTCCATCTCCGAAATAAATGCGCGAGTCAGAGCGATTTATGGTATTGGATTTGCTGGCCTTTTTGCTCGTGTAACCCTCTTCGCACCCTGTTGTGTACTGGTTAGGCTCGATTAATTCGTATTCCCAAGGAACTTGGTTTGTTTTCCTGTACAACTAGCAGTTTTGTCCGTACAGTCCTGTTGCCTCACATTTAACAGTGGTCTTGTTCGCGCTTATTGGAAGATTCTGACGATACCCAGAAGGTCGAAACGCGGGCGTCTGGTGCTTTTCCAGACAAGCTTAAGCCTGCTGGTTGGGAGTGGCGATGATGAATTAGCTGAATTATACCAAAATCCTCACTACTCATCAGTACTATAAAATCTGTCCGTATAGCTTTTAAATCCTCTGCGGTGCATTGGCGCTATGGGGAAAGTCCTAGCTCGTGAGGCTAGCCACTGCCCTCTGCACATTCTGCAACTGGTATGGCAGTGCAAGATGAGCCGGGCTATATCATAGTCAACTGTCAATCACGCAGGTCCGCGGCTGACACCCATAGTGAAGTGGCACTAGTTGCTGGCATCCTGAAGTCATGGGTGCGGAACCCGGCAGGGGTGCGCTGGAAGGCGCACCACTGACGCAACCCGTAAGGTCGAAACGCCGGTGTCTGTGCTTTTCCAGACTAGTCTAAGCCTGCTTATTGGGAATGATGATGATGATTTAGCTGAATCGGAAGATTCTGTCGGGTTGCGCCGTCACCATGTTGTAATGTTACTAGCAAGTTTGTTATATGCTGGGCAGAAAACAGCCTCCAACTGTGCATTGGACAAAGGTCAACTGTTTAATGCCATCTACTCGCGACGGCATATCATACATCATTATATCCCCTTTTCGCTCGATAGACAATGAAAGCATGTGAAATAACTAACTGCAACGTTAAACCGGTACTTGGCGCTGTATTACCGTCGTAATACCACTTTTACTAGAGAACGATAAGAGGAGATAGGGGGTAACGTGTATAAAATTTAATTGTGTACGGATATTCATGGACGAAGCACGTACAAGCATCAGCAGTACACCGGTACGCAGTACCGACGCTTCGCTGCCACGCAACCACCAACAGACGCGCTTGGGTTTAGGATACTGCGGGAGTCGCCCAGTCACCTACGAAGGATCGAACCCCCACCGTCAGATTACAAGGCAGTCTTGGGCTTCTTAAGGCTACGGGCACGCACGTAGGGCACGTGGTTCTCCACGCTCTGCAGTACGAAATCGCATTCACATGCTTGATAGAAGTGTTATGTCCTTAAGGGATTCCTCCACATCAATGCGTGTTGCTCTACTTTGCGCGCATCTCAGATTTGCTTTCGTCACTTGCCCTCATTTTGCATCGAAATTTTCCTTTCAGCTTACGGATACGCTCAAGTTTATCTCGGACTTGCCATATTCCTAGTAAGTTTCAACCGATATTGGTTTTCACTGGTAGTGAACCCTAAAATGCCGCTTCATGCTTTATCCACAATGTAACGCAATCGGTTGATTGAAATTTGCTCTAATCATCGTCATCCCTCGTGCTTTTAGGGGGGTTGGGGCTGGAGAAACACCTTAGCTAACGATCCGCAGCACAATGCAATTCTATGATTATAAAGAAAAAACACTTCTAACGCCTTGTTTTATGTGATGCATCAAAGATGGAATCGTGACTAAATGACAGGCTAACAGGAGTGGAGAGGGCCAAAAAAGGGCTGATGGCACAAATGCCGCTAAGGTCGGCTCCTTGCCTTATCAGAAAGTGTCCCCCAACCAATCGTGTTCCCTGTATTTTGGGCTCTAACCCGAGAGTTGTGTCATCGACCATGACCAAGTCCTCGACTGACATCTCCCCTCTGCATCCGTGCACATCCCTGTAGCGCAAACAACGCTGGCTGGCGTAGCACAGGGCCCGGCTATAGGAGTCTGGCACGTGCAGTACTACTAATAACAAATAATGTGTCCGCTGTACGCCGTAACGGCGCTTCGCTAACGCGTGGCAGTCACCAGTCGCGCGCGGGCTGAGTATATCGCGAGGACGCCCACCCCTAAGCGGATTCGAACCGGTGACCTTATGGTTGCGAACCAGGCGCACGTACTACTCGGCCACCGGCTGAGCTCTATGAAGTGCGTTACTCAATCAAGAAATTGCGGCAACAGTGGCTGTAATCAAAGCACTCTCGTCGGATTTATTAAAAAACAAACTAAGACTAGGGGCGCAGATGACTTTCACGGATCTGATCAAACCAGAAGTAAGTAGACAGAGATAACCGGGCATTGTTGTGGGTATCGTTTAGTGAAAGGAAGCTTACATTTCAAAGTTGGGCTTGAAGAATCCGCTTACATTTCCTTAGGTGCTTAAAGAATGAGAGGTGTTTGGGGTATGTGTGGACCTCAGCAGTAAAAAGACGGTTCTTGGACTTCGTCTTGAGAGGCTGCAAGGCCAAAGGAGACCACTGTTGTCGGGTGCACAATTGAAACGAAAACTGGCATGGCCAATAAGTTGTTTATGTTGAACCAAAAAGGATTGGGAGAGTTTTCTGTGGAGACCAGAGTCATCTCTGCGATTTTTGGAATTATTGCGGCACATTTATCAGAAGGTTTCCAGGAAAAGAAGTATGCACATCACAATGTCTCAGTCTCTCTGTCTAGCATCCAACATAAATCATGATTTCGGGTTGCATGACCACCGACAGAATTCTCAGACCGATATCTTTGATGACATAGCCAATGAATTCAATTAAGTGGAAATTTTCAAAAACGATATTCTAACATCAGCTAGTCACGGAAAAATAGTTCTTTTAAGAAGACAATGCACCATGCTGGCCTGCGAAGACGGTCGTCGAATGGATGAAAAACAAAAGGAAAGATGCTTGAATTACCAACTTACCCACAGATCTATGTCCTATTAAAATTTGTACTGCAATTTAACACTAGAATTATTAAAGAAACAGCTAACAAAAGCGAACATATTGCGCCGACGTGAAGTCCTCGTGTTGATCAATGCAATTCCCCTCTTCCTACGCCAAGACGGTGGCCACATTTATTGCTCAGATGGCTTGCCGAACTACCTCCCCGTGGTGCCAGCTGGGTGGTTCGGGTGTACCCCGTTCCAGCAAAGTGTTCGGCGACAATGTTCCACCTCCGTGGGGCATTGTATTCCAGCAATTGTGCTGACTTCATGGGGAGTATTGGGCCCCTGTTTGGTAATCTACCAAACAAAGGCGCATGAGCTGATCATTCAGTCAACGCCTCCCAATGGGCGCGATTCCCTAAATTCGCCCCGCTGCCTTGCGGGTAGGTTATTTAGCCAAAGGCTCGGGGTGGAGTCCCTTAAGTCAACTCCCTACTTCGGCTTGGGCAACCGGGTAGTATCACGCTTTCTCACAAAACCATGGACTGTACCACAACGCGCTTATCAGCTACTATTCCTGCTACTCACTTTCACGCTACTCCATCACACGCCAATTGTTTGTTTGCTAACAATCCTCACTTTCGGTTACCCGATTCATCTGTTCAACAATCTGGCTGCGATTCCGGTTGCTCCGCAGATCAAGGAATTCAACCTATGGCTCTCCTTCGTCCCCAATCCTCGTTCCGTCTAGCGTGCTTCAACGTCCGGACACTCATGCAGATTGGACAGCAAGCCGGTCTAGCGCGCACCCTAGATTCTTTTTTTTTTTTTTTTTTTTTTTTTTTAGAAACCCGATTGCAAGATCCCAGCACTGTGCTTACATTGACATCCCCCACTGACCACGAAGCCAGATATCACCTGCGTCTTTCTGGAGATCCAGAAGCAAGCTCAGCGGGTTTGGCTGGTGTAGGTATAGCACTGAGTGGCAAGGCCGAGGCGGCACTACTGGACTGGTTCCCGATTAACAGCCGACTATGTGCAGTTCGGCTTCGGGGTTCATGTAGAATCAACAGGCAACGCGAAGAGAGACGCAACTTGTTTGTGATCTCTGTATACGCTCCAACTGACTGCAGTAGCGACTCGGTCAAGGATGATTTCTACCGAGATCTACAACAGCTCTTGACTAATGCTAAAAAGTCGGATGTCGTTATCCTTGCTGGGGATTTTAATGCACGGGTTGGCCGCCTGTGACCATACGAACGCCACCTTGGTGGTCATCACGCGCTCGATGAGAACCGCTCTGATAACGGAGAGAGACTTCTCACATTGTGCGAGGACAACCGTCTGTTTCTCTCGAGCACTAGCTTCAGGCGTACGAAGAAACGTTCCGCAACTTGGCGTCCCCCTTCGCCAACACAACCTTGGTCTCAAATTGATCACATTGCGATTAGCCTCAGATGGCGCGGCAGCGTACTGGACTGCAGGTCCTTTTGGTCCACTTTCGTTGATTCAGATCATGCTCTGGTCTGCGCGAAAATCTGTATGTGTTTTGGAGGATCCCGAAACACGAAGCACCGCAAGATTGATGTAAACAGATTAACTGATTCCTCTGTCCAGGAGAGCTATCAGTCTTCACTGGCATATGCACTCAGTTGCAATTTACCGCGAGAAGTGGAACAACACTGGACTTGTATACGGGAAGCGCTGACCATTTCCGGACAGTCATACTGCGGTCTAACTCGACGCCCTTTGAAGTCTTGGATCTCTGCTCGTTCTCTGGAGCTCTTCGAACGCCGCAAAGATATCTCCGCGGAATCAGATTGCAACGAGCGGCGCCGTTCTACCAACCGGCTGCTTAAGCAAAGCCTACGCAAGGATCGCGAGACATGGTGGTCTGAGCGTGCTTTAGAGATGGAGACTGCTGCCCTCTCTGGTAACACTCGCAGGCTTTTCCAACTCATTCGGTCCACTGGCCTCAGGAAGCCTGGTGTCAGTGAGGTCATTTGTGAGGTGGATGAGTCTCCGATCACCAACCAACAGAGGCGTATGGACCGCTGGGCCGAGCACTTTCACTCGCAGTTCAACTGGCCTCCACCATCCATCAGTACATGCAGTACACCTTGCGGTCCACCTTGGCTAGTCCCATTGAATCCACCCAGCGAAGCGGAAGTCTGCCTCGAGATTCGACGCTTGAAGCGCTTCAAGGCTGCCGGCTTAGACGGACTTCCTCCGGAGCTATTCAAGTATGGCGGTGTGGCAGTCATTAACCAGCTAACCGCGCTGTTCGCAAAAATTTGGCATGAAGAGAGAGTGCCTCCCTCTTGGGGCGAATCAGTTATTGTCCCAATTTTCAAGAAAGGCGCTCGCACTTCATGTGCAAATCATCGCGGGATTAGTCTTATTTCGGTTGCCTCTAAGCTGTTGGCATCCATTCTACTTCGTAGACTATCCCCAGTACGTGAATCGTACTACCGTGAAGAAGAAGCTGGTTTCCGTCCTGGCCGCGGATGCGTGGATTAAATCTTCACGCTCCGCCAACTCCTTGAACATCGCCACATTTATCACAGGCCCACTATCGTTACATTCCTAGACATACGTGCCGCTTTTGACTCCGTTGATCGACCTGCTTTATGGCGTTGCTTACTAAAGAACGGGGTGCCAGAGAAATATATCGCCATCTTACGAGCACTTTACCTTCACACATCCGGCAGAGTGAGGGTCTATGGCAAGCTTTCCTCACAATTCACTGTCAATAGCGGTGTGCGACAGGGCTGCCCTATGTCCCCATTCCTCTTCAACTTCGCAATCGAAGACGTTCTGTCGAATGCCCTAGAAGGTTTCCAACATTTTGGCCTAGAGCTTCTACCGGGTGAGCGCGCGACCGACTTAGATTATGCTGATGATATCGCCTTACTTGGTGACGATCCTCAGGGTATGCAACTCATTCTGGATCGTTTGGCGGTTGAAGCATCTAAGTATGGCATGAGCTTCGCCCCATCGAAGTGTAAAGTACTGCTCAAGGATTGGCTTTCACCTGCACCCGTGCTCACTCTCCAAGGTGCACAACTTGAACAGGTAGATAGTTTCGTCTACCTTGGGAGCTGTGTTTCCGCTGACGGCACAATCAACAAAGAAGTTTCGCTTCGTATCGCTAAAGCTCGATCAGCATTTGTCAATCTGAGGCACTTATGGCGTCGTCGCGACGTCTCATTCTCACTAAAGGGCCGAGTTTACAGCGCGTCCGTTCGCTCAGTATTGTTGTACGGGAGCGAATCCTGGCCGATTCGCGTGGAAGACATGCGTCGTCTTTCTGCGTTCGATAACGGTTGCTTAAGGAGGATCGCTCGTGTTCGGTGGCAACATCGAGTTACCAGTAATGACGTTCGACGTCGCGTCTTGGGGAATGCAACTATTTCCTTCAACAAACTGGTTTTGTTGCGCCAGTTAAGATGGCTCGGTCATGTCCTACGCATGGCACCTGAGCGTCTACCGCGTCGCGCTCTATTCGCTCGTCAAGGACCTGGCTGGAAGCGACCGCGTGGTGGTCAGCCTTCCACTTGGTGGCAGC